AGTAGGTGCAGAAGTGATGTCATATGCTGCTCTTTATTGTCTTCCTCGAGCAGTGGCTCTCAACCTTCCTAATACTGCGACCTTTGTTCCTCATGCTGTGGTGACCCCAGTCATACAGTTATTTTCAATGTTACTTCATAACTGTAATTTTGGTACTGTTAAGAATTTGAATGTAAATATCTGATGTGCAGTAACCCTAACCACCTGTGAAAGTGGTTGACTCCCAAAGGTCTCACCTCACAGGCTAAGTACCGGTGTCCTGGAGGAGCCTGGACTCCCCGAATAATTACTCAGTCAGACGTTCTTTGATCTCTGTCCCTCAACTATAGCAGTAAAATGCAAGTCTGTCTTCTACTGACAGAAGTGGAGCCAGGCTGTGTAGGAGGACAGTGCACAAAACATCCTGCCTGCCAACACGAGGAGGTTCAGCCAGGAGTATACAGCCTTGTGATAGTCTAGGCCGGCTGGTGGGAGTGGCATTCTCGTGCAAGGCGTTAGGTAACCTCTGAGCAGACACGTAACTATCTCGGGAGTGGTGTTATTCTTGTGTCCCGCCGAGAGTGCTTATTAATGAGTTAGAGGGTTGGACTCCTCCCACCCCTGTGTTTATGTGTGGTGAACGTGCTTGTCAGCGTGGGAATGTGTATCTAAGCTTGTGTGAAGAGACCGACACAAATGTCATATTTCTGAACCTGGAATTCACTGAGAAGGCTAAAGGCTAGTCTGACAGTCTCCACACTCCCAGGCCTGGCATCACAGACCTGAACTCAGGTCCTCGTGCTTGTGCGGCAGCCACCTGAGCAACCAAGCCATCTCCTCAGAAAACAGGGTGGAAGTAGGGGAGTGTTAGCAAGTGGCACTCAGGTTGAGAGGCCACGGCCCTGGGACTGGATAGTTCTAGGATCATTCCTGAGACTGTGATCAAGGACAACTGGGGGGGGGGGGGGNCACATGGTGGTTCACAACTGTCTACAAAGAGATCCAATACCCTCCTGTGGTGTGCAAACATACAGGCAGAACACTGTATAATAATAAATAAATGATAAATAAATAATTTTTTTTTAAAAAAGAACGACTTAGGGGAAGAAAAGGTCCTGATCCATCAGTGAGGGAATCTGGAGGAAGACCTGCCAGCTGCTCCACACAGTGTTGGTGCTGACCAAGGACGTGCAGCAGAAACCCTGGGGAGACGCTGCTGGCCCGCTCAGGCTGCAGGACCACCTGCCTAAGGATGGTATTGCCACAGGGGGCACGATCTGGGCAAGGCCTGGGGAGCCACACCTACCCGAGCCCTTAGACTCTTTACTCAAAACCAGCAGTTTTAATAGAGTCTGACGAAAACGGTCTTGTGCCTTCTCTCCAGCCAGCCAGTAGGGCTGTGGTGGGTGGGCCATAAAGAAAGCCAATCATTCTAGAGTCCAGTTTTGTGCCTTTGCTCTAGGGGCTCAGCCAGATCTCCAAGACGTGTGATGTCTGTCACCATCTCTTGGCATTCTCTGCATGTCGGGGCTCAGGCTCTTCTTAGACCCTGAGTCTAGCTAACATCTTCCAGTGCCAACCTTGGATCTGTTCTGGGTGTCTACTGTAAGCAAGGTGGGGTGGTGGGTGCTAACCCAGAACCAACCTTGATTGTGTGGACATATGAACTAGATACAGTAGATTCCTTTCAGCAGTGTGAGGTAGAAGTGTCTTTAAATACAGAATATAGATGTACCTTCCTGTCCCCCTGCCACTGTTTCTGTGTGGCTCCACATTTTTCCTCTTGTGGGGAGGTGTGGTCTGTAGCTCTGGCTACCCTGGAATTTGGATGGTCTTGAACTCCGATATCCGGCTGCTCGGTGTTCATGCCAGGCCCACCCACCAGACCTCATATGTAGAACTGGGTCTGTGGGTGATGCTGTCCACTGAGCTGATTTATTGGACTTTATGTTCCAGCATTTTTTTTAATATTTATTATGTATACAATGTTCTGTCTGTGTGTATGCCTGCAGGCCAGAAGAGGGCACCAGACCTCATTACAGATGGTTGTGAGCCACCATGTGGTTGCTGGGAATTGAACTCAGGACCTTTGGAAGAGCAGGCAATGCTCTGAACCACTGAGCCATCTCTCCAGCCCCCCAGCATTTTTTCTTAGAATTGCTTTTTGCTAAATTTTTCGTTGAAGTTGAATTTTTCATCCAGATTGTAAATTGACTATCTGAAGTCTCTTGTAATTGGATCTTATGAAACTGGAGGAACAGAGGGTTGTGAGCCACCATGTGCAGGCTCTCCAGAGCAGTAGGCACTCCTAACCACTGAGCCATCTCCAGTCCTTCGTGCGCCCCAGCCCCTTCCTTTTTATTGAGACAGAATTGTGGAACTTTCCAGTTTTTGTGCCTCAGGAGCTGCTGCTGGCTCCAGTGGGCTCTTGTCGCCTATGACCTGTTCAGGTTCCCATCCCCCCAGAGCACCCTCGTCCACCACTTTGTTCACCTGGAGGTAGTAAATGTCCCAGCTGCCCTGTGGGGGAGGAGACTGTGCAGTCCTAGACTGTGCTCAGAGCTTTGTTTCCATGGTAATGTCAAGCTAAAGGCTTGCCCCCACCACCACCACAGAAGTGGGTAAGCACTGTGTTCCAGCCTCTCACCATGTCTACATCTGGCCCTCCTCCTCTATGCCTGTGTGGCTGTCTCCATGGCAACTGAATGGCAGGGAGTCCCCAAGATCCCAGATTGCTGCTTGCTTTCTGGCCCTGAGTCCTGGGTCTCAGGATGGTGGCTGACTGTATCTCACTCTGAGATATAAGGGGGGGGGGGGGGGGGGGGNGGGGGGGTGGGCGTGGGTTGGTGGGGGGGGGGGGGGGGGGGGGGGGCGGGTGTGACAAAATCGACTGAGTCTCCAAAGGTTCCCTGCTAGTCAGGTTTAAGGCCTGTCAGAAGTGTGGTCTTTTCTGGGTAGGGCAGTTCCAGCCTGGACAGCCAGAATAAAGCTAGGCAGGAGAAGGAGTCCGGCAGACATGACGTAGCTGCTGATGCCCCCCTTTCCAGTAAACCACAGCCTCATTGCAATACACAGATAGCTTAATTCGCCAGGCAGTGGTGGTGCATGCCTTTGGGAGGTATAAGCAGGCAGAGTTCAATGCCAGCCTGGTCTACAAGAGCTAATTCTAGAACAGGCACCAAAACTACACTGAGAAACCCCTGCCCAGTTTGTTTGTTGTTCTGTTTTGAGACAAGGTCTCACTCTAGCTCTGGCTAGCCTGGAACTGAGTAAGTAGGCAAGGCCGGCCTTGAACTAACAAGAGATTCAGCTGCCCCTGGTCTGCTAGAGTAAAGGTGAGCATCACCATGCCTGGCCCATGTGGGGAACTCTTGGCCTCATTGGACCATGTTCTGACACCAGGGAGGACATGTCCCAAATAACTTGGCAAAGAGGCAGAGCAGAAAGGCCACAGGAGTGCCAGGTTCGGTCGCTCTCCTTGCTGCTGTGACCAAGCACTGGCACCTTGGGGAAATCAGGGTAGGCTCATGTGGCTTCACAGTTGATGGAGGACAGCATGGCGGCTTGAGCCTGTAGTGACTGGTGACTTGCATTCAGTCAGAAAGCATGGAGTGGAGCCTGCTGCTCAACGCAAGTGCTTTATATTTAGAGTGGGACCCAAGTCCATGGGCTGGAGAGCCCACATTGGGGTGGGGAGCCCCCAGGTGCTGCACTATCCACAGTGTATATGTCCACTCCACCTGGAGAACCCGTTTCTGCAAAGCTGCGGGAACATCTGTCCTTTGGATAAGTCAGTTCTGTAAAAATCTTATGACATCATGGCCTCTCTCCCTTCTGTAGTATCCCAGAAGTGTATCGGTGGATAAACCTGATTTTTCCTGTAGGGCAACCAGATCCCTCCCCCCACACCATGAAGCCATGGCGTGAAAAGGACCCAGTCCTTGTTCTCACAGCCAAAATCTACATAAAAATAATCCGCTATGAGCTTTCTTTATTGACAGCACTCACTGACGAGAGGACACTCGGAAGCTGTAATCTCCTGGTCTGCTCTGACTTAACATTCTGTATTACCCATTACCTTGGTTTCAACTAACAGGACCATAGCCCAGGAGATTAACTAGACAGGAAAAAGGCCTGAGTCAGAAAGAAAAATTCTCACCTGGGCACCCTGCTGGAGTCAACCAGCTAGGTGCTGATGCAAATCAAGCCCACAGGCCGCAGCTACCAGGGGAGCTTCACAACCACGCCCCCGCTGAGACATAAGGTCCCTGTTTGCCAGATCCACCAGTCTCATGACCATGAAAATGCATGCTTGATAGTATTTTTTTTTCACCTATGGGACTGTTAATGTGTCTGTCTGCCTATGTAAACTGAAAGCTTTGTGGATCGCTCCTTACTCTTACCCTTTTTATACCTTATACCCCTACGCTGCTTCTTTTTCTGTCCCCTTATCCCTTACATCTTGCCCTTATGCCCTTATTCTCATCTTCCCCCAAGGAATAAAGAAACTTTCAGGAAAAACATGCCTAAGTCAGTTTGTTTTACCTCTTGGGTCCATTTTCCAAGCCCAGTCTTTGCTTGTCATAGAAGTCCTACTCTGAACCCTGAGAGAGTGCTGAGGTCAGGACCTAGTAGCTCTGATAGGATGGGTCCTCCCCATCCTCTCGACTGAAAAAAATCCCTCGTGGGTATGGTTGCACACACCTTTACTCTCAGCTCTCTGGGTTTGAGGTCAGCCTGGTCCATGTAGGGGGCTCCAAGATAGCCAGGATACATAGAGAGACACTGACTCAAAAAATAAACAGTTAAAGAAAATGGGGGGGGGGGCTGGAGAGATGGCTCAGTGGTTCAGAGCATTGCCTGCTCTTCCAAAGGTCCTGGGTTCAATTCCCAGCAACCACATGGTGGCTCACAACCATCTGTAATGAGGTCTGGTGCCCTCTTCTAGCCTACAGGTATACACAGAATATTGTATACATAATAAATATTGAAAAAGAAGAAGAAAATGGGGTATGCCAGGCGGTTGTGTGTGCACCTTTAATTTCAGCACTCAGGAGGCAGGCAGATCTCTCTGAGTTCTAGACCAGCCTGGTGTACATGTCTTACACAGCTTTAAAAAAAAAGTTTTAAGTGTGATGTACGTACACAATGGAATTCTATATAGTTGTAAAAAGGCCCAATTCTCTCCCAAGCAGGACCTGAACTTAAAGTTTTATATACATATATGATGTGTACACCAAGCAGGCAGGAAGAGATCTTAAGAAAGACTGAGAAACCATGAATGCAGGAAGGTTTCCTTCCTGGGGAAAGGAAGGGAACCTGCCAAGGAGGAGCAGGGGACAAGGGCAGGGGAAGGCTGTGAAGGGGGATGAATTAAAGCAAAGCATAATGGCAGATTATAGAACATAATGACCTATGTATGAAGATGAAGCCAGTTATGGTAATGCACACCTTTAATCCCAGCACTGGGGAGGCAGAAGCAGGCAGATCTCTGGGCTTCAGGATGCTCTACAGAGTGAATTCCAGGACAGCTAGAGCTGTTACACAGCGACACCCTGTTTGAAAACCAACAGCAGTATGGTGTGAAATGCCTGCAGTCAGTGGCTGTTTTGATTCAGGTTTCTATTGCTGAGACCAATTCCAGCGGGCCCCCAGGGTAGCATATTTCATCCATTTGTGCAGACACAACCACAAGGCATTGTTCTCTCAAACGGGAGTGATTTCTAGCATTGATTGCACAATTACCACTGACCATCTGGTTCCATTATATACGATTTAAGTTTAAGCTTAACTTTTACCATCCTTACCCCTCCTCCTGGCACACCTGCAGGACACCTGCGGGACACCTGGAGAACACCTGCGGGACACCTGCACACCGAGTCCATACAGGCAAACGGTGCTCTCCACGTACCGCAGTTTGCTCTCAATTAGGAACTTAGAATACACTGGCGAGGAGGACCTTGAACTAGAGCGCGCCTACCCTGCAGGTGTGGAATGATTACTTCATTGGCAGAGCTTCCAGAACAGCATCGGCGATCTCCGAGAGACTTTGGTCCACGCTGACCTGGATGAAGTTTTCAGGAGCTGACGGAGGCTCCAGAATGCTGAACTGGGACTGCAGTAACTCGGGCGGCATAAAATGTCCTTTTCGTTGGGACAGGCGTCTGGAAATGATCTCAAACGAGCCGCTGAGATAGACCACCAAGAGCTGTTGGCCGGCTAGCCTTTCCTCTGCGGACCCATCGCTTTTCAGGGGCCCATCGCTTCTTCCCTGTATCAAGATGTCTCTGTATATTTTCTTCAGGGCTGAACAGGCTAGAATGACATGCTGTCCCAAGGCCACATCTCTGTTTCCAAAATAGAAGGAACAAGATGTACCCCACACCCAGAGGGGAAAAAAGAGATGAGGGCTACAGAATGGGGGTACTTTGTGTCAATTCTAGATGGCGGAGTAGCCTCTGCCAATGCAAAGTGTTACTTGGAAATGGAGCCCTGAGTGTGCTCAGCCTTAAGTGGAGGTTTCACCAGTGATCTGAATGATCTTGGGTTCCAGGCATCCTCAGTTCCTTCCGAGCTGTTCGGAGGGCAGAGCTGACTGAGGACCTGGTTTACCCTCGTCTTTGGCTCTACCCTGATGGGTGCAGCCAGTTGTAATTTCAGAAGTGATGTTTTAACTCACTGGATTATACCGGGGCCAGATGATTTCTTACCTTACTAATATGTCATGCAAGCTGCAGAGCCATGGAATCCTGTCCTGAAATTAGAACAAGAATTAGAAGCTTTCCCAGGTAAGAAACAATAGTACCATAGTTGCAAATGTTAGCTTCAGAGAGACCTTAGTGGTTGTGGGATCTGGGCATCGCCAGGCTGAGGGCCATGCCCAAGGCCCTACAACCACAGAAACCATTCCTTGGCTCTGGTGTCAATGGCTCTTTCATAGTAGTTTAAGTCCCCTTAAGGTACATCCTTTAAACCTCCCGCAGCCTCCCCGCTGTGTGACTATCTCCCCTGGCGGTGATGGTCACACACCTCTTACTATAGCTAATATATCCTCCCGGTACATCTGATCAGAACCTGCAGCTAGGCACGGCTGCAGCTTTCTACCCCAGCCCTTGCTTGAGTTGACCACCCCAACAGGGTTTCTCTGTGTAGCCTGGCTCTGTAGAGCAGGCTGGCCTTGAACTCAGAGATCCTCCTGCCTCTGCCTCTGAAGTGCTGGGGTTAAAGGTGTGCGCCACCACTGCCCCACTCGTCTCTTGTAGTGCCTTGGTTAGCCAGGGTTTCCTACCACATTCAAGCACTGATGGGAATGGACAAGATGATGGTATTATTAAGCTTTTTTAAAAATTTTTTGTTTATTTAACTTTATTTTATGTGCATGCAGTGCCCACAGGAGCTAGAAGAGGGCAGAGGAATCCCCTGGAACTGGAGTTACATACAGGCAGCTGTGAGCTGCCATGTGGGTGCTGAAATGGAGCCCACTCGGGATTAAAGATTAAAATCCTGCAACAAACTGTGGCTGGCTGTGCACGGGATAGGCCAGAAGGTAGCTGAGTCCATGGGAAAGTCCAGGCTCTGGGCTAATAAAGAAGGAGGCATGATACAGAGATCCTGGACGCCCACAGCCAACGTTACCTGGTCGCTCAGCGGTACCCCTCTCCCCATCTTCATCCGATTCTCTTCAGAGTGGTAATCATCGGCATCATAGAATTTCCATCCCAGCTTTAGGAAGGAAGGAAAGAGTATATGTAGCATCAGCAAGGCCCATGGGACAGCCGCCAGGAGCGTACTGACAGGGGGATATAGAGATCACTGGTCTGGGGGCTGGAGAGATGGTTACAAGCACTGGCTGCTCTTCTAGAGGTCCTGAGTTCAATTCCCAGCAACCGCATGGTGGCTCGCAACCATCTGTAGTGAGATTGGATGCCCTCTTCTGGTGTGCAGGTGTACATGCAGATAGAGCACCCATATACATAAAGTTAAATAAATCTTAGAGGAAGGAAGAAGAATCACTGGTCTGAGGCTGCCCCTCTCACTCACCATTATCAAGAAGAAACCTGGATTGCCATGCAAAGGCATCAAACCATAGATCATAAGACAGGGAGGAAGCAGTGGACAAGAGCACAGTGGATGAGAGACGTTACCTTGGAGGCCAGCAGTGTGCCCACGGTAGATCTGTGGAAAGAACAGAGATGTCTCCATTTCTGCCCCATAGTAGGAGGCCGCTTGTTTGTTCCTGGCTGCTCAGTCCCGAAATAACCACATAGAAACTGTACTATTTGCAATACTGTGTCGCCAATAGCTTTTTTTTTTTTAAATATTTATTTATTGTTTATACAATAGTCTATCTGTGTGTATGCCGAAGGCCAGAAGAGGGCACCAGACCTCATTGCAGATGGTTGTGAGCCACCATGTGGTTGCTGGGAATTGAACTCAGGACCTTTGGAAGAACAGACAATGCTCTTAACCACTGAGCCATCTCTCCAGCCCCCTCGCCAATAGCTTAAGCGTATTTCTGGCTAACTCTTAAATTTTAAATGGACCCATCTCCATTAATCTGTGTGTGTCCACGTGGCTCTGGCTAACCAGCAAGATTCTGTCCAGAGTCTATCTCTGGCGGGGCTACATGGCTTCTCCTGACTCCGCCTTCTTTCTTCTAGCTTTCCGTATAGCTATCAACAGGCCAAGGCAGTTTTTTAATTTATTTATTTAAAAAAAATATACTATTTTGTTTTGTGTTGGCCAACTACTCGGGGTCTGTCCTGAAGTGTATTTGATACACCGAGTGAGTGGGGAGTCTAATAAAATTTAATCTCCTGCAGCACTGTGTAACGTTTGGGGGCCTATAAATGCATCAAAGCATTGCTAGTTTACTAGATACGCAGTAGGGGCTGGAGAGGTGGCTCATCAGAGCACTGGCTGCTCTTCCAGCGGCCCTGGGTTCGGTTCCCACCTCCACACGGCAGTTCATAACCATCTACAACTCCAGTTGCAGGGGATCTGGTGCCCTCTTCTGGCTCCCTCATACACTACACTGAAGTGGTACTCATACAGGCAGGCAAAAATAATAATAAAACAACAATCCATACACATAAAGGACAGACCTAAAAGACAAGGTCAGTAACTCAAGAATGGTCAAGGCCAATGGTTAGGACAGGGTGTCCCACAGAGCATGCGAGGGAGGGCTGGGGCTCCAGTCCTCTTTCTGTCATTAAATGATTATCCCCATAGCTAACTGGGTTTCTCAAGTCCTCAGTTTGTGCAGGGGAACTGAACCACACAAGGTGTCCATTCGCCTCTAGTTTCTTCGGACAATTAAAAGAACTTTATTTTATGCATAGGAGTATTTTGTTTTCATGTAAGTTAGTGCGCTGTGGTGCTATTGTTTGTGCTTTAACAAATAAAGCCTGCCTGACGATCAGAGTGTGGAGCTAGCCACACTAGTTAGCCACAGAGGGCAGGCAATAGTGGCACACTCCTTTAATCCCAGGACTCCAGAGAGCAGATGGGTCTCTATGAGTTCAAGCTTGGGCTACAATGAGATTGAAGTAGTCTAAAAGAGAAACAGAACCAAGTGGTGGTGGCTCACACCTTTAATCCCAGCACTAAGGAGGTGGAGGCAGGAAGGGATATGGCTGGGCAGAGAGAGGAATAGAAGGCAGGAGCTCAGGATCCAGTCTGAGGACTTGGAGAGACAGGACACCCCATTTGGTCTGAAGATTTAGAAGAGGTAAGAACTAATGGCTGGCTGCTCTGCTTCTCTGATCTTTCAGCCTTCACCCCCTAATATATGACCCCAGGTTTTTACTATTAAGACCATTTAGATTCATGCTACAGTGTACCACATGGGTGCAGTGCCCATGGAGGTCAGAAGAGAGTCTGGAACTTGGTTACAGACCATCGTGAGCCACCATGTGAGTGCTAGGGATTGAACCCAGGTCTTCTACAAGAGCAGCCGGTCCTCTTAAGCACCCACCGAGCTACCTTTCCAGTCACAATTCAACTTTTATTGAATGTGTCACCTAGTAGTTCCCAAAAGACAAAGATGAGACCACTGTGATGTGCTGGGGTTAAAGGTAAGTGCCACCACACCTGGCCGAACCAGAGTTCTGCACAGAAAAAAAAA